TGTGATTTATTCAGGCAAAGATTCTTTATATCATAAAATTATGCGGGTTCTTTATACCCAGTGAGAGGCTTTGAATGTATCCTCGTATGGAAAATCATACTTTGTACTACTTTTAGAGAAGTGTATATTTATCTCTCAATGATTCTCAATCTGCAGGTTATACTTAGTGATGGGAACTTGTCAACTTTAGCGAATATGAAGCTTAACTTGGAACTAAACCATCTGAGAACTGGAACGCAGTTACTAGACCACCATAGGAATTGCAATACGGTAAATTTATAATTATTTCTGCTGTATGTTTTGAATTTCTTTCTTAGTTTTTTCGAGCTCCTTTGGTTTGTGATGTTAATCTACCTAAAGGCTCTGTCATGACTGTGAGGTTCTGCTTTAAGAGTCAGTCTGTATGATAGAAATTGGTGTAATAATTCCCTGGCAGCTGTAAGTTCTGTGGTGAATATTCTGTTCATAATTTTTATACTTGGCTTTCCTCTCCTCAGAGTGATTTTGACACCAATATACATTGTTTTTTGCAGAGTCCCAAATTGTGTCATTGATGTGATATTTTGAGAATAATAACACGCGTATGTCAGATCAATTATAGTACATGTAGTTTAATTTCAGAAGCTTGTTCACATGGTTGTTTTAGCATAAAGACACTGATAGTCTGATATATGTGTTTGCTAATTAATAGTATAATTAGTATGATCGTTGTTGTCATCCACAAATTTATTGGGGAATAGGATTTAGTGCTTGTGTGGGATTTATTTTCTGAGAAGTGAACTTTTTAGAGAATGTATGATTAATAAGTAGGTAAATTTTAAAGGAAAATGTGAAAATAATTTTTTTAGAGAATGTGTGATTGAAATTGAGCGGGAAGTGATTCTCTAAAAATCACTTTCACAAGGGCTTAGTTTTTTATGGTATTAGAATAATTAAAGTGTTAAAACAAATTATGTCAAGACCTTTGGGCCTAATGCATCATTGGGTGCTTGGAGTCAGTAAGGTGAGACCAGATTTACAGTGAAAAATAACCTTTTTTACTTGTTTATCCATCCATGATCACCCTATACAAAAATGTAATCTACAAAATATCACTAATTACCTCTAAACATTTGTGGTTTATAGTAGATTTTGTTTACTAGAACGAGCCCCATATATAAAAGGTCTCCAACAGTATCCATAGAGGAGTTGTAGGAATCTGAAATTTCTTTCTCCGTCATTCTCTTTGAAATCACGAACTAACAGAAGAAGAGGTTAGAGAGGAATGTGGTAGGCACACTAATTTGCCCTGTGAGAGGAATTGGTGGGCAGAATATTTCTGGTGTGATATGTAGTTCTTGTATTTTACATTAATTCAACATGACCTTTGATTGTCTGAAGTGTTGACCGTCTTTGTAGAACTGCTATCTATCAAACTATATTGGACCATCCAAAACCCTTTTGGACTTGCAAAACTTCTTTAGCTTGATTTCTTTTCATCGTCTCATACTCTTACTCACTATTTCCAAAAGTGCCGAAGGCACATGTTTTGAGAAGCCTCAAAGCATACGCTAGAGCTTTGTTATCTCTCCGTTCACGCCACATGGCATAAGCCTCAGGATTGTTGAGGTTTGCGCTCTTAGTTTTGCCTTTCTTGTAGCCTCAGCCTTTTTTTATAGTTCTGAACGTTCAAGGGTTTACTGGTTTGTTTTAAACATAGTCAGTGTAGGTACTGTGCTTACTGAGGACTTAGTCAAGTAGTTGGTTAGAGATTGACAGCTATGCTACAGTAAAACATAATACTCCATACCAGGTCAGCCGTGGTACCTTAGGTGCTTAGATCACATGTACAACTGTGACAAGACCAATCATTGACAACGTTTTGGGTTACACATGGCTTCTCGTATCTTTGAATTTAGTGATCTTGTTCTCTAACAAGCAGCCACATGATATGTCGTGCTCCATGTAGAGAAGTGCACATGCTCATCTTATCGTATTATGAGTACCTGATTGATAGTCTAAGAACTAGGAAACTTAAAATTCTAGTGCACATTTCTAACGTCTTCAAGAATATGCTCCTTTTACTTGGATTCTATGAACTTTTTCATATAACGTACAAGTTGAGCGTTCTTTCAAATTACTGGTAGCTAACTTATTCTTAAATCATTACAAAATAAAATGTTGAACAAATACATTTTGCACATTAATAAGATTTTTTGAAGTTTCAAAGTATGTCTGAAGCAAAATCATTATATTTTATAATTGCTATGATGAATATTTACGTGCAGAGATGTGAATTGAATTGGTTTCGGACAGATTGTACACGTTTTATGCTTTTTGTTGACTAGAAGTTAACGTTCTCTCACTCTAAAAATTCATTGTGGAATGAGTTGATGAGAGTTGTGGCTGACCTAATACTGAATATAGGTGCAATGTGTTTCCTTGCCATGGGAATCTGCATCAGAAGATGAGCTTCGTTACTTCACGCCCGACATAATGTAAGTGTCTTCATTGTGTGCAATTAGGCATGGTCTGAGTGATAATATATATATATAACTTGATTCATGGTTTTGAGATATCTATTCCAACGCTAGGATTTAATCTCTCAGATTGATTTCTAATAGTCGGCCTAATAATTTAAGCTTTCACATCTCTTACACGAAGAGTGATGAAATAATCTGTAGCTTATGTTGATCCCATTGCTTTCTCTTATATATTTTTGAACTTCTTTTCTGTTTCAAGTAGTTATTATACTTTCTTCACTTTCTTTTCTACAGTTTGGGTGCAGATGTAGTTTACGACCCAACATTCCTTCCACATCTTGTTCGAGTTTTGGTGGTTCTTTTAAGGTGTGAAAATTCAGTTTCTGAAGAAGTTGACGCTGTTAGTGAGTTTGATGCTAGTCAATGCAAAGTGATGAGTAATGCTACCCAAAATGCGGAATTTTCTGGTGATCCTATTCCTTCAGTTAAAGGTCGTGTTGCATATATTGCTTCTGTGGTTCGTAATGTTGATACGCTCCGTTACTTTCTCTCACTCGCAAAACAGTCCAATCTTATTGTCACTGACCTTACCGAAAAGGTCAAGCCATTTAATTTTCTTCCTTACATAAAATCGTATCAGCAATCTGGCATAAAGATGTTCAGAATTTCATAATCGGCAATATGGTGATCTTCTTTGAGTACTCTTCTTGTAAACTTTCAAAATTAGCGCAACTCACTACGGTCTTTATGCTTTGTGTCTGTATTTATCTAAATTGTTGGATTTCTAAGTTTTCCCATATTCTGGGTTTTCCTCTTATTAGATTTCCCGCTTATTTCACTGCAGAAGGCGAGTTGGGAACAGGAACACTTTAAAAAATATAGAAGGCTATGTAAAAATTGAACAACCTAATTTTAATTTTATTGTTTGTATGTTTATTAGAAAAACAAACATGGAGCTTATCAGAATTACTAAAAAAAATGAGAGAAATTTGTATTTTTTCACACAACTGCTTGAATTTGGAATGTGTGTTCAAGGGTGAGGAAGATTAGTTTTCTAGTACTTTATGTTGGAGGTCAAATATTTTTTGTGAATTCTCTCATTGGGTCTTAAAACAAATATACTTAAAATTATGAGCCTTTTGAAAAATCAAATCAAAAGTACAATGAGGTTAAAGCCAACATGTAAAGTTGGATATTTGTAATTAAAGTCGTTCTGTGTAACTTTTTCATTTTAAGGTCGTAAATAGTTTTCTTTTTTCAAATACTTACAAAATAATTATTTTGACTTGTTTGAAAATATAAGACAAAATGTTCTATTAAATGAAAATCAAATTATACTACATGACATTTAATAAGAGTGACATAAATGTCATTCCAAATAAAAACCTTGATTCACAACAAAAAATTAAAGGTAAGAATTAATATCAGTTTAAATGGTTCTTATGATTCATGTTGTTAATCAAAGATTTCTTTTATTAAAAGAAAAGTCAATTACATGGTGTATGATCTTTTAATTTTAAAAATTAATGAATCACTTTCAAAATGCAGGACCAATAGCAAGACAGGACAAAAAAGAAATAGGTAATAATAATAATAAAAATTAGCCAAACATGTTCTGTTTTTTTTTTTTTTAAAAAAGGTCAAATTATAATGTAGATGACATTTTAATTAAAATGTGAAAAAGCATGTTATTTTCAATGAATAGCCCAATTCACATCAAACACGACAGAAAAATGAAAATGTGAGAGTTAAATATTGGTTTAAGTGGTTCTTATAAGCGCATTGTAAGCTTATTCAATAATATTTAGTTAAAAAGTCAAATTATATGATGTGACCTAAGGGCATCAATTTAACTCGCTGGCTCGAACCACCCATGATTCAGCTCGAAAAAAGTTCGAGCCTTCCTAGCTCGAGGCTCTAGCCGAGCCCCTACTAGAGCTGTGTGGCTTGATGAGCCACACTGGCTGGCTTGTTTCACAGGCCATTTTTCGGCCAGGGACAAGCCGATCGTTGAAAAAATGAAATGAACAGAAAAATGAAGCTAGAGGCAGCACATAGCTGCCTATGTTTTATTAAATTTTAAAAAAAATAATTGGCTCGACTCGACTCAGCTCGGCTCAAGTTTAGAACCTCAAGTTTCAGCTTGACTCAACTCGTTGATATTTCTAATATGACTTTTTAATTGAAAAGTAACACATAATATGTGATGTAGAGTAAATTATTGAATGGATTGAAGAAGAATTAAATCACAATGGGAAAAAAAAGTAATAGTGCAAATAGAACATCCGAACTCCGACTAGGGCCCATAATACCATTCCGAAAAGAGAACAATGGGACGAGTAGAAATTATGGATTTTAGCTATCAGAGTTCATTTAGTACTCGAAAATTGCTTTAAAAGTCTTAATGCTATTTTTGTCATTTAGTTTAGGTAAAATTGCAGCTGAAGCTCCAAACCTTTGAAACACTAGCAGACTTTTTCCAAACCTTTGATTTGTTGTATTCGTCACTCTTAACATTTCCAAACATTGTATGTGAGACCCTTTTGGATGGTTTTCGTTCAAAATTCCATCAGTTGAGCAAAAAAAATTATTTTGACCACATTTTAACAATTTTTAGAGGGGCAAAATGATAACTTGCATTAAAATCAAAAATCAAAAAATAAAAGTGGTCTTCTTCTTCCCTCAACCCACCCACTCCCAACTCAAGTATTCGTCACTCTTAACATTTCCAAACATTGTATGTGAGACCCTTTTGGATGGTTTTCGTTCAAAATTCCATCAGTTGAGCAAAAAAAATTATTTTGACCACATTTTAACAATTTTTAGAGGGACAAAATGATAACTTGCATTAAAATCAAAAATCAAAAAATAAAAGTGGTCTTCTTCTTCCCTCAACCCACCCACTCCCAACTCAAACCAAAAATCCATCGGACCACTGCCACCTCCAGCTCTACTTCCACAACCGCTTGCAACCACCCAGCGCAGTCAAACAAAATAAATACTACAATTAAACTCATAACTTTCGGGTATCAGTAACAATCCTGTGGCCCAGAACTATGAAGCTAATTGACTAGAGCAGATCGTGTTCAACTAACGACGTCAGCTGTTTCAATTATTTCCTAATAGCTTTTGACTTCATCAATCTTCTTTTTCCTTCAATTCGCTGATGCCAAGGCGATAGCCGTCACCATAATGCTGTCGTTCACCACCGTTTATCGACACACCCTTTCCTGTTCTTCTTTTAGTTCTTTCCGATCCTCTTCTTTGCTTTTCCTTCCGTCAGACACTCACCAACCGCTTCCAATTTTCGCTGTTGAAAACCTAATTCTCGCATTTTTGCTTCAATGAGCATCGAGGCTCCTAAGAAGTTTTCTCCCGATTCATTTCTAGATTGTAGAGAAAGTGGTATTCTTCACTTTGTCAAGTATCACAGACTCGGAAATGATTTTCATATTGGTAAGTTTTGCATATCCTGTAAATTTGTGTGTATATTTATTTACATTTATCTTCGTTTACTTGTGTGTATAAATTCAGTTCGACTATATATGGGAAACTCCAATTACTTGACAATATGGAATTTTGGTGCAGTCTGAGTTGGGGCATGGTTTTGGGTGGTGTAGGGTAGGAGATGTTTCGAGTGTGGGTGGGTTGGGAAAGAAGAAGACCACTTTTATTTTTTGATTTTTGATTTTAGTGGAAAATTACCATTTTGCCCCTCTGAAAATTGTTGAAATATGGTCAAAATAATTTTTTTGATCAACTGACGAAATTTTGGATGAAAACCGTCCAAAAGGGTCTCACATACAACGTTTGGAATGATTAGTGGTTACAGTTGCAACAAATAAAAGATTCGGAGAAAGTCTGCTAGTGTTTCAAAGGTTTACAGTTTTTGCTACAATTTTCCCTTTAGTTTTATTTGAATTCTTTTCAAATTTTAGTTTGGTTAAACTATATTTTTATGTAAACCCTTATAAATAAAAGGTTAATTCATTATTTTTCATCATCTTTTAAATAATAAAATCATGAGTTTATTCTTTTCATAATTTGGTAGATTTTGAAATTCGTATTTTTAAAGTTTTTACTTGAAATTCTTGTTTTGTTCTACGTCAAATGGTATGAGAATTCGGTTTTTTGTCTGGCTTATTGGCACAAAACGTTCCTCCATTTGGCCTTTAGTGTGTAAAACATCCACACATTTCAATTTTTTTAATTTTTTTGCATTTTTACCCTTATGTCCATGTTTCATTGTCGAAAATGTCCTTATGTCTATCTGCTGTTAGTGCCACCATTAAATGCACAACTGAACTTGATTTTATTTTAAAATAAGAAGGGTAAAAGAGTTAAGCCACTTCGAGAGAGAGAGAGAGAGGGAGAGAGAGAGAGTCTTCTTCCTGCAAGAACATAATAGACACACACACACACAAGCACAGTTTCCTTTTAAAATCTCAACCCTTTACATCTCTCTCTCACCCATTCGCTTTCTCCCATTCTCCTATCATCTCGATTTGTCATCTTGTTGAGGGTAGTATGCATGCAGTGGGCAAACTAGGAGAAATTAATTTCTCGTTGGGGGTTAGATTTTTTATTTTTTACATTTCATTTGTGTGTGTACATTTGTGCACCACCACCAACATCTAATTAGGGATAGTTTTTAATATATATATATATATATTTATTTATTTATTTATTATTATTATTATTATTATTATTTATTATTTTTTTTTTTTTTGGATTTTTGTTGAATGCACTTGTAGTGCATTGAATGTTGGCCTGAATTTTAAATCTTCTTTGTTGATATGTGTGAATCATGAACAGAATAAGAGCCAAAATGTGTCTAAATGTTGTGGTTTTTTGTTGCTGAATGCTGAATAGGATATATAATTTGAACGGAAGCCATGCGCATGTATGGCATTACTCCACTAAGTGTACATCACCTAAGTTTACAAAACCAGATAAAAAGAAAAAAAATGGTTGTGCCATGCGTGTGCAACCGTCCCTACCATGCACATGCATGGTAGTCCAATTGAAATAGATATGATTTGTTTTTGAGATTGTTTTGAAAACTAGTTATTTTTCAAGTAAATTAAGATTTTTTTTTATGTTCGAATATATAAGGTATATTCATCGTACAAACAATACACCACAAAATATTATTTTAAGATATTAATTATAAAGTGAGGATTCACTTTCAATCTTATTCTTAATTGTCCCGACCCACATGGATTGAAACGTCACTATATTTACTGTACTTTAGCCGTAAATTAATTAACTATATTTTTAGTGAAAGATATAAAGATTAAATCTTAGAATTTAATTCAAGAATTTTGTTCTTTTTTTAAAAAAAAAAATAATTCAATACCAAAAGAAAACAACTTCAAAATGGATTATTCTACTTAAACATAATGGCGCCACTTGGGAATTATGGTGTCCATTATGTACCCCAAGTATTGTCCTTTCAATTTTTTTTTTAATAGTTCCATGCATGTAACAACTATTGACATGAAAATTTTTGGCAAAACTTTAAAAGTAATGTTGCTGTTTTAGTTTTATCTCAAACGGTAATTGTCAAAGTAATTTCGTTTGCATAGCTAACGATCTTGAAACTTCATCAAATTTTCATGTAAAGTATGAAGCTCCTTATAATATGATATAGTAAAAAACTAGCTTCCATCAGTATCATATGTGTATTAAAATATTTTTCAAAATCCAGCAACGACCCGGTTGAAAGGTAAACTAGTG